TGCCGAATTTTGAATCATGGAGATTATTTGTGCACGGAGGATTTAAAGGACGCCTTTCTCCTCGTACCATTATCGGAAGATAGTAAAAAATTTTTTCGTTTTGTTTTCAACAAAAAGTTATTTCAGTTCACAACTTTACCGTTTGGTTTTTCGCTTAGTCCTTACGTTTTTACTAAGTTACTAAAACCTGTATTTGCGTTTCTACGATCTAACGGCTATAGATCGAATGTTTATCTCGACGATATGTTAATTTATGGATGTTCGTTTGATGATTGTATGAAAAACCTACATAAAACTATCCAACTGTTAACTAAACTTGGATTTGTCATTAACTATGAAAAGAGCAGCCTGATTCCTTCTATACGATGCAAATTTTTAGGGTTTATTATCGATTCTATGAAATATTGCGTAGAGTTAACCGAAAAAAGAAAATTGGGAATTATTAATAAAATTAAATGCTTCAAATTTAATAAAAATTACAACATTCGCGATTATGCCAAACTACAGGGATTACTAGTTTCAGCTTTTTATGGCGTAGAGTAAGGTATGTTATATACGAAAAATTTTGAGGTCGATAAAGCTGCAGCTTTAGAGTCCAGTTTTGGTAATTATGAGCGGAATATGAGTGTATCACGTGCAACGTTTGAAGATTTTGAATGGTGGAAACAGATTGTTATGACAAGTTTTCGACGTATTCGAAAGTTCAAATTTGATATTGTAATTTATACCGACGCTTCTCTGTCCGGTTGGGGCGCATCGTGCGATGGAGAGAATATCCATGGGTTTTGGACAAAGGAAGAAAAATTGCATTCAATCAATTACTTGGAACTGCTTGCAGTCTTCCTGGGTCTTAAGTTCTTTGTTCGATCGCGTGTTAACTGTGAAATATTGTTAAGAGTCGATAACACAACAGCTGTCTCGTATGTTAATAAAATGGGTGGTTCGCGACACTTAAAATACAACAAATTAACGCGTGATATTTGGCAATGGTGTGAACAAAGGTCTTTATAGTTGTACGCGTCTTATATACCTGACCGTGATAATACACAGGCGGACGCTCAGTCGCGTGTTAAAAACATCGACACCGAGTGGGAGCTTTCAAGCTACGCTTTTAAACGCGTAGTGCACATTTTCGGTACACCGAATATAGATTTATTCGCGAGTCGAGTTAATTCGAAATGTAATCGGTACTGCTCATGGTATCGAGATCCTGATGCAGAATTTATCGATGCATTCACGATTTCGTGGGCGAATGTATATTTCTACGCTTTCCCTCCCTTTGCGATCATTGCTAAAGTGTTGCGAAAGATCATACTTGATAAAGCTTGCGGCGTTGTAATCGTCCCTTACTGGACATCACAAACGTGGTTTCCAATTTTCAAAAAACTGTTGATTGGCGATCCTTTGTTTTTAAAACCTAATATAAATTTACTGTTATCACCTTGTAGGCCAAAAACTCACCCTCTGGCTCACCAACTTACGTTGCTGGCAGGGAGATTATCCGGCAGTCGTATATAAATAAGGGCATGTCTGAAGAAGCGACTGCGATACTGATGGAAGGATTGGCTATCAACACAATTAAGCAATATGCCTCCGTACTTGTAGAGTGGGTAGCTTATTGTAAAAATAGGAATGTTTGTTACTATTCTGCTCCAGTTGCTGTAATAATTGAATATTTGACCGCTAAATTTAACTCTGGTGCAAAACATGGTACCCTTAATTCTGCCAAAGCTGCTATTGCTCGCATTTTAAATTATAGTATCAGCGATAATGAGCTTTTAAATGTATTTTTTCGTGGCGTTAATCGCATCCGTCCGACTAAACCGAAATATTTACGCACATGGGATGTGAGCATTGTGCTAGAACATTTGTCACATTGGCTTCCATCGGAACAGTTATCTTTAGACCAATTGGGCAAAAAATTAGTTACATTACTAGCCATTGTCACATCTCAAAGAGTTCAAACTTTAGCGTCAATTGAATTAGAAAATATTATTCAGAGAGAGGGGAAAATAGAAATAGAAATTCCAACTTATATCAAAACATCTGCACCTGGTAGAGCACAACCTATACTTCAATTGCCTTTTTTCAAAGATAATCCAGAGCTCTGTGTCGCTTCTACGCTTCATATTTACATAGACAAAACAAAAAATCTAAGAGCAGAACATAAGAAATTATTCATTTCAAGTAAAAAACCTTTCGAACCCGTATCGTCTCAGACCTTAAGTCAGTGGATTAAAAAGATATTGAGTGATAGTGGAATTGATATTTCTGTTTTCTCGAGTCACTCTACGAGACACGCTGCCACTAGTAAGGCTTGTAGCAAAGGTGTAAATGTGAGTGTGATTAAAGCGACTGCAGGATGGACTGAAAAGTCATCTGTTTTTGCGAGATTTTATAATAAGCCCATCATGAAAGATAATGAATTTGTTAATGCAATTCTATCATAATTACTTCAATTTCAATTTTTACATTCAGTACAGTTACATGTACACTTGTTCTTCTTGGTTTTTTTCCTGTTATTATCCTGTAATTAAAAGGAATAAAAAAAAAAAAAAAAAGTGTGCTTATACATTTAATTCCAAAGTTTAAATGTCACTCGTGTGATTAAATTTAATCGCTATAAATCTCTAAACAACTACTTCTTAAATTACTCGAGCAAGGATTGAAGTATAATTTATAATCAAACGAACTTACCTGTAAGTGAAGTTCGATTTGAATTATACTAAATCCTTGATCGAGTAATTTACACCCACCCATTTATACACACAAACATATATTATATTTTTTCCCTACCCCACTATAGCGATTAAACTTCTCTAAAAAATGAACTTATATCGGCGCGCCCGCGATATCGAGAGAGGCTTTTGTTTTTCTCTCTTAATAGTCGTGTGAAGTCCATCGAATAACGATGTACTACTTCTTAAATTACTCGATCAAGGATTTAGTATAATTCAAATCGAACTTCACTTACAGGTAAGTTCGTTTGATTATAAATTATAAGCTGTAGCACATTCTCGCGGCCCTTTTGTAATTAATAAAATATCATCAATGTATACTATGAGCAGAATACCTAATTTTTTTAAAAATGAAACTACAGGCTTCAATAATTTAGTAAAAAACACGGAGCTACGTTCAAGCCAAATAATAAACAATTAAATTCATAAAGCTTTTTTTCATATTGAAAGCGTAAATACTTTCTATGACATTCGTGGATCGGTACTGAGTAAAACGCGTGCTTGATATCAATAGATGCCATAAAATAATCTTTTTGTAACAAGCTGATGACAGTTTTGTGACTCTCTATCTTAAAGTGAGACGCTTCCACAACCTCGTTAAACTTTTTGAGATTCAGAATCAACCTGTGAGAACCATTTGATTTCGGTATAACAAAAATCAAAGACAAGAATTGGCCCGTAGTCGGGTTACATTCTGAAATTGCTCTTTTTTCTAAGAGCTCAGTAATTTTAGTGGAAATAATGGCTTTTTCTCTCTCAGAGTGTGTATGTTCAGGCTGAGAATACAGCTGGGTAGGTCGAGATTTAAAGGGAATTTTTAGCCCTTTGACCCAAGATAAGATATTCTTATCTGACGCAACGCCTGAACTGTTTACGTATAATAGATATACGACGTCGTCAGGTTAGAGCCTGTGCGACGTACGGTGATGCAGAATAATGCGTGCGAAATTCCTACACATATTATATATAATAATATCAGTCGAGCGGTTAAACTTCTACGACTATCACCGAGCATATAAAAGTTTGTGTGCGAGGTTAGACCTCCACGCAAACATAAAATAACAAGCCGCACGGTCTCGAAGACTTCGTGAGCTCTTGATTGATCGCAGCAAGGCTGCACGAATGTTACATTGTGAGTTCAACTTACGAGTCGACTCGTCTGAGCTGCTAGAAGAAGAACGAGACCGCGAACGTTTTCTTTCCTTCTTTTTCATCTTCCTCCTGAGAATTTTCCAAACCTGCTTGGCTATCAGTTGATGAGACTCATCGACCTCTGATGATGATGATGATGAGTGTCGACGTTTTCTAGATTTCCTTCCCATCCTGAAAGAAAAAACTACTCGCACTATAGGTTAAGTCGCGTGGTCACACCGACACACAAAAAAGGAATGAAGCTCGCTCGGCGGGGCGCGAGGCGCAGTGGCGGCAGCGGGCAACTTTTTCTTTGCTTTAAAAGTGTGGTAACAGTGCACATCTAAGGATACTACCATGTGATCTCTGAAGGAGGAGGCGCGTAGCATAATTTTTCATCATATTTTATCGTCCAAGTACTTCTAACAAAACCTATAAAGTAATATATATAAATTAATTAATAACCCAATGACTAATTAATTAAAATTCATTTTTATCATGCAAGACTTCTGATAAAAAACTAATGTATATCAATTAATTAATAACCTAAATACTAATTAATTTCTTTGACATTTATTTTTCAGTGGGAGAAATCCAAGCAACATGGAATAATATGGAGAAAAGCTTCCGTAAGAATTTTTCCAAAGAGAACAATTTACCGTCTGGCTCGGGAGCTCAAGCTCCAAATAGTTTTCAACAACCACACGATATGTTGTTCCTGGCATCATCCCTCTGCTACCGACAACCTACTTCTTCAATAGCTTCAATAGATTCAATAGCTTCAACATCTCATGGTATGTTATAATTTATGTTCAACAAAATTTTTTTTAATATTTTACCATTTTAACCAATTACAAATAATATTTACAGGTTTTCCATTAGCGACCATTTATAAATTCGCACCTGCTTCTTCAATAGCTTCAACATCTCATGGTATGTTTTAATTTATGTTCAACAAAGATTTTTTTAATATTTTGAAATTTTTTATTGATTAATTAAAAATTAATAATGAACAGCTTTGCACTCATACCAACCAATTACTTCATGCTATTTTCAAACCCGCATTCATACCACAATCCATTCTTTAGACAAGTGAATCCCTTAATCAAGCTGGATTTCCTATCCATCCATCTAATCAACCAAAACCATTTTTATATGAAGCTCCTAAATAAACACAAAAACATAAAATAAACCTAAAAAAACATAAAATAAACATAAAATAAACATAAACAATTTTACGGTTAAATAATACCACTTTATTTCTTTTATATGATGTGCAATATTACTGACCAAAAGGAAAGTATAAATATTAAAATAGTCAAGTTAAATTCATTCACAATATATAATTACAATATATAATTCACTCTTATACATTAGTTTGGAAAAATTTATCATCTTTCAATATTGGAGAGCTCAAATTCACTGTCGCACAAACCACTGTCATGATATCTTCTGCAAATGGAACAAGGTTGGAAGGCATTGTTGAACCTAAAACTTCAAAAGCTTTTATTCTTTGATTCGACCTCTCCACACGGACCCGAGCTTTGGCAACTTTAGGAGTTCTAATGGCATTGGCAGTATTAAATTGTTTTTGTCCTTTTAAGTAAGGAGGCTTAATACATTGTCACTGGTTTTTTTGGTATAATTCCTCAATCAGAAATCCACAGTCTACCATAATATAGTCTCCAGGTTGAAGCAAAGTCATCAGCTCACTCTGTTCAAATATTTTAGAGTCACTCGTCCTACCACCATACACTTTACTTATAAAAGAAATATCCCCTGCTGGAGTTACACCTGTCATAAACTTTAAGGTTACATTTCCTTTGTAGTAGGAGTATGCAATGATCTGACAACAAATTTCTTTTGGATTTTGAATGAAAATTTCTGTATAATCTAACACTATACGAGTATCTTCAAAATCTTCAAAGCACAATGGAATATTTTTTCTTATTTCATCTCTAGATGGCCATCGAATACACCCTTTTAGAACTTTACTCAACGTAACCAAAGTTTCAGTAAATATTCTTTGACACCGTTGTTCACTAACACTATTAAAAATAATAGCTAAGAAGCTGTAGCACAGATTTTGCTACAGCATGCAAAATGTTAATAACACTCTATCTCTTGTCTTCATCACTGTCTTGTGGTCTTCAAATCTATTACCAACAACTTCCACATATCACTTAACAATGGTATTGAAAATATCAAAATTTTCAATTCCAGTGGCGGCACTTAACTTCTTTTCACTTGTAAGGAACTCCATAAATTTACATTTACTTTCATCAGATGCACAAACATCTGCTTCATAAACTTCTTGAACCATATTGACTTCAGGCTCAAAGTGTAAATACTGAGGTCCGCTTGAATTTTGATTTTCCAATAAATCTTCACAAATTTTTTTGGCATCTTGAAGTTCAGCTTTCTTAAGTGTATCGCTCTCAGTGCCTATTTTCTCAATTATCTGTTTATTTGGTTTTAACTGATATCTCTCTATTCTTTTTTCCTTTGCTTCCATAGTTTTAGATGATCCTTGGCCAGGTAAATATAAAGAGGGGATTGATATATTCCTCAATCACCTTATGACTGCATGTTCAGCTGTAAAGTAGTATTTTCAATTAATTTATTCAAATTTAAATGTTTTCAGTATTCTGTTTATTAAGAAATCTTACCTGGAACACAAAAATCGTTGCCAGTGAAATGTCGACTGCAAACACAATCATTTTTGCAAATCTCCTTAAGATTAACTGCTTGCAACCAAGCATTAAGTTTGTCAACAAACCGCTTATTGTTGAAGTGGTCTGCTACCGTAACCTTCAATTTACCACGAGTCGGAAATACGTGCATGCTTATTCCCGGATCTGTTGACTTTTTTAGACACCGAGGAACCGCACAAATAGAAAAACTTTTTTTTTATATCACTACTATTGTTTTCCAACTCCATTTTAGCGTAAATTTAATTGAATTTTTAAAAAACGTCAATGCTCCCATGAGCCACCGTGTATAAGCTCCTTGGCTATAGAGGACATATTGGATTTTTTCCCCCTCCACGCGCTCGCATTACTTCCCAATACCCACTAGGGTATCTCTCGGAGCGACTACGGAAGTTTGCCTGTAATATCAGCGACTTAACTAGAAAAAACTTGCGCGAGTTCTAATGCAGAGCAGTACAGGTATGCCGAGTCTGGATACATCTTGATTGACAATGTAAGTGCGTTTTAATTGCGCAGTCAATTTGCATGTCCGAATGGCATGGCTAGAGTGTGCGTTTAATGGCGTATAAGTGCACGACTTTCAGGCGTAGCCGGCATTCCATTAGACGTACATCACGTGCACGTGCACAGAAAGAGTATATCAGTTTATTTTTCTTACTGCGAAACGACTTGCCGAACGCGTTACCGAACCTCGGAAGAAGTATGGTTCGTTGAACGCATAACGACCCTTTCTCTTGCAGGCACGACTTTTCAATGGCGACGCGCCACCTGGCGGCCGAGTCGGAAGTTTGAAAAGTCAAAAGGTGGGGAAAGGTGTTGAAATAATGAGGCGAGTATTTAGTAATTTAACCAAGTTCACTACTTAGAAGAGGTCCTAGGTCAAAACTCTCGAGTGCTCGTCGCCGTGAACGCGAAGACGAGAGTCGATGTGCTCTGGCTGGCTACCGAGAGACGACTCACTCAGTCGGCCAAAGTGGCTCGCTTATGTACACAGCACACCACGCGCTGATTGGCTGATGCCACGAGATGGGGACGAGTGCAGCAGTGCACGTCGTTTGAGTGGGGACGCACGCAGGGGTCTCGACGTTAGTGGGGATATCACAATTCATTGCCAAATGTATTTAATGAAAGATCATCTCTTATTTTTTAAAAAAATTCTGCTCGCTCCGAGCTCGCCGGTGCACAATGTTTGAAAAGTACAAACAGAAGTTCATAAGTTACTACTAGATACCGCATAGATTCATTTTCGGAAGCCAAAAGAGAAAGAACGAAGCTTCAGCATTTAGTAAGGGTAATTTCCTACATAATGTTACCTTTTCTGAAATATTTTTCAACTTGAATGGCCGTTCGTACATTTTTACCTCTCGTTTAAACATTATTTTTTGATAGTAATAATTTAAACCCCCCGGTAATGCTCAAAATTAAAACCTATCCCAAAAATGTTTCTTGTTCCACTGGTAAAGAGTTTTCTTCTGAAATTTTACGTTATGTGATACAGTTTTTTGCACCCTCTTCAAATACTCTAACAATTTTATAGATTTTTGTATTTTGTAAGTGCAAAATACTTTTGTGGGTCGAAATACGTGTAATCACATTTCTGGAGCTGATAATTTTTCGAATAAAGAAATTAAATAACATAATTCTTGCTACTCATTTGTACTCAAGGACTGAGCCATCAGTTGTTCATTTGGCAGCAGCATCGGAGCATCTCAATTCTGCGCGAATGCCTCTTCTCTCGTAGGTTTCTCCTATGGCGATAATTGTTGCAACTTCGTGGGACCAGGTGAAGCTGACCATAGGAAGAACGAATAGTCTCCCGGACAATCTGCTCATGGCTGGCGCCTGCAATAAAAAATTACAGATTACTAAATAATATAAGCAAACAAACAAAAATTAGATGGAAATAGCAGGGTAATAAAAGAAGTAAAGTTAACCAAACCAGCAAAGTTAGTCCAGCACATCAGTGATAGTTTATGTTACCTATTTATTATTCTGACGGAAAATTTAATAGCAACAAGGTTGATATACGCATCAAGTGAAGCAAAAGTACAATAACCCTTTATTTCTTGAAACGGTAGACTGCGCAAATGGTTCTTAGTATACTAATTCTTCCATTTTTCTCAAAATAGCTAAGTTTATAGCATGTTTACTCTCTTGAGATTTTTACAGGAGCTTGTGCAGATTAGTTTGAAAACGTGTCTCTTGGGTGTCATCAGGGTATAATTATTTATTTATAAAATCTATGAACTGATAAATCCAAATTATTTTTGAAGTTCGTTGCCACATAAGTTAAGACAATTATTGTCTGAAAAATTTTAAATCACTCAAAGTAAAAAATTATCCTTATTTTTCCTGTGTTTCGATTTTGAACTATTCGATGTTATAGACTATAATATGTGCTGTTAACTCAATAACATCTTTTCTGAATCAATAATGAAAATGATAGATATTCAAATCACAATCTAATATCGTAAAATCTGTCTTACATGTTACAGAGACGATAATTTTCGGACTCTTTCAACTTCGACTTTGAATATATTCTATTACATATCCTTGTAACTACGCAATATGCTAATGAACATGATTTGATTTTTTTACAATGAAGATGAATAAATGGTTTCGTTTCACACAAAGTATAGTCATACGTTGGAAGGTACCTACATTCTTATGCACTTGGGCTTCTTTCTTTTCATTTTTAACTTACTTTGTGGTGACCTCAAACGATTTTCCATTTTAGTGTATGTAGCGAAGAGTGAATGCCTCAATCAATTATTCTTCAGCGATGTGAGAAGAAAGAAGTCCCATTATTTTTATACTTTCATTGTGCTTTTAATATTTTAATGGCTATTGCGATCGTTCAATTACTCAAATGTTTTATACTTAAGATTATTCAATAATTAAGACCCTAAAAAGTATGTCTAACTCTTGTGAGCTTGCGTTTGAAGATGTTTTCGAGAGCAAAACAGCATAAAATAGAATTTTTCGAAAAATTTGAAGGATGGTTCACTCATTCAATAATTGTGAATGGAATCTTTATTCCATGGAAATGTCAAAAAATTAAATCATAGATCAATTTTGAAATTGTAATACAATGGTCTTGACACTGCTTGTATGGTAAAAACTTTTTATTATCACTCATTTGTTAAATTACACGAGAAAAGTCTCATGGAACGGATTAGCAGACTCAATTCAGTAGCAATAAAGGAATTCATTTCAAGGAGAGCAAAAGAAAGAGTTCGTAAGAGAGAAACAACAGTAAAGCAATTAGTGTTCCTTCAATTCACTTAAATCGGTGTTTCTTCTTTCAAATGATCTCTTAAATGGCTTTTCCCGCTGTAGTGGCAGTGTCAGATCATCGCGCGAAGTTGCATTTCACGCGAGCAAACGTATGCGACTTTTCTTTTGTAAGCGGAGGCGACTCAAGATTTTCTACACTTTGAACTTTCTTTTTCTCTTGCCCATCAACTCGCTTTCGCTCTTTCTCTCTCCTTTCCCCTCTTTGACAATGCAGCAGGTGGAGTTAAATTTTACTCGAAAAGGACTGTGATTTTCCACTTTCGCAAGAGATCAAATACAAAGTTTTTCAAACTGTAGAGTCGTGCCATTCAAGTCAAGTCCGAACTAAGCGTAAAAACAAGTTTTGAGTGACTTACAGAATTTCATTGCAACGATCTTACCTCATTTGTAAACACCTAAGTAACTATGATAAAACTTTTAGCCTTCGGCTGATTTATGCATTATTGCAATTTATTTTTGTTTGCACACTTGTTGTAAAGTTTGTTTAATGTGATTTTTTTGTGAGGGTCAGCTATCAAAAGTTTATTTCTAAAAAAATGATTTCCTCGTAGATTAAGCCCCTGCAGCTAAATTATAGCTCATGTATCGATGAAAAGACAAAAACTAGCGCGGAAGTGCGAGTTAATAATGTTCAACGACATAAGTAAGATCAAACCAAGAAAAAAACGGAAGAAACTAGCAACCGATTTATTATTTCGATAGTGTTTTAGTGTGAGTGCGAGTGTGGAGAAGGAAAAGCGCGAAGGAAGTTTTACGAGTAGCGTAGCGGCAGTAGCGGCTGAGGGCGCACCTGCATATCCGGAAATTTATCATCACTCGGCGGTGCGCAAAGCTCGAGACAGAGAAGGAAATCGTCTCGAGATAGCGATACGCTGTTGAAAGAGCTGATATAGACGTAGAAAGTTAAGACGCCGTTGTGGGTGTTATACTGACTATCTTGGCGAAATTTGCTTTTAGTTCTATTACAAGCCAAGCTCGGGTATTTATTCATTTATTATGCGCTCTAAAAATTTTCATACCGATTCGCGCTGTATCTCTGTGAAAAACTCGAGAAGGAAAAATAGATAAAATTAAAGAGTATAGAGCACGGTATGGTTGAGGAAAAAATCATTATCGCTGCGAGAGAGCTGCTAAAATTAACCCAAGAGAAAAGAGCTCTCGAGTCGCAAAGAGGAATATTTGCAACCGCAAGAATAATAGGCTCAGTGTAGCGGAACGTACGAGCTTTCGCGCTCGCGCGCGCATTTCGAGAAGCTCGTGCGAGCGAAGGGGGGAAGAGGGAGGCGAATATAAACTTGCGAAAGCTCGGGGTGCACTTTCGCAGGCTTTAACGATCTCTGAGCATCGTAAATTCTGTGCAGTCGAGTATGCGTGTCACTTGGCGACAAGGACGACGAACGAGACAATAAGTAAGAGTTAATGCCGAAACATCGTAACGTCCGTCGCGCTAGTATACCGCTCGCTGCCGCTGACGACGATGAGAAATCATGTGGTGCGCACATCCCTCTTTCGCTCTCTTTCGCTCCCTCTCTCTATTTCGCGAATGAATATCCTATATAGCGAATACGCTCGAGTACCCGCAAACATCGAGCGCAAGAGGAAGAGAGAGAGAGAGAGAGAGAGAGAGATCCCTGTGATTGATTACGATGTGTATACGTTGATTCATGCCTGTATTCATTTGGCATAATCAAATAATTACACTTGGCTCCTATCGAATGACGGATAGCGCCGATAGTCGGCTGCTGCTGCTGCCGCATGTATAGTGGCGTATACGCAGCTCATTGTGTACGTTTGGGTGCAGGATAACTTTGCTACTTCAAAATATATACTATTATACCACTCGAGCTTGCGCGTATACATTAAGTTTCGTCGGTGCGAGCTTCACGCGTGCGCGCTAACTTTGCATTCGTTTCTATCCTATGAGCTATTTTCGTTGTATTATTTGTTTCAGCGATTTCTGCATTGCGTTATTAATGAACAGCAAGCTGCAATCGATAATTATATTAGGGTGTTGCAGGTATCGCGAATTTTCGAGTCGAGATTTAAACCGCACCGCTGCACGATGGTCGAGCTTGGATCGCGCGCTCACACGAACACGCACGTATGCATATGCACGTGTAGAAAAGCTGCAATATCGACCGAGCGAAATGGACGCGGGCGTCCTTGAGGTCCGAGCCGGTCCTATATAGCGGCGCACGAGGTTCGGGCAAGCACACACGTACTACACACATCCATTTATCTGTTATAGTTTTGCATTCGTGTGTACGCGCGAGGGTGGTGTATGCGCTTGGTGTGCGCACTTTTCCCTCTCTCGATTCGCTGGTGCGGCACATACATATCATACTCACATAGCTCTAGTTATATGTGTGTATGTGAGCAATTCTCTAAATGAAACGCATTTTTGGAGGTAGATTCGCGGCAAATTTTTTTTTCAACCTACGCGGATACGGACCCCCAGGAAATGTTTTTGGGGGTCGGAACCATTGAAATTTCAATAGTGCTTACTTTTATAGCTACTTTTGTGATTTAGAGGACAAAAATCATGTTTTCTCGTAAATACGGCTAATTACTCAATCTCTAAGTCGCTGAAAAAGTATCAAAACTCATCTAAAAAAAATAACTGGCTACTGTGTTCGATAGGAAATTTTCTCAGCTTTTCAACGGTGGTATCAGATTTTCCGATAAATCGCACATTCACCGCGAAAATCGCCATCAAACATGCCAAGCTAAATATCTCGAAAAACTCGGTACGGAAAAAGTGATCTTTGAGGTTTAATTTCGATTTTTCCTTTTGAAAATGAAATTTATCGGAAAATCTGACTACACCATAAGAAAGCTGAGGAAATTTCCTATCGAAAACATACCTTCATTTATTTTTTGAGTCGAATTACAATGTTATGCATGGGAATTTCTTTTAGTTTGTTCGCTGTTTTCTGTTTCCGAGCTGATTCAGCTCGGTCGCGAGGTTTTCGGCTCGCTGTAATCAAAACTAGCTCGTAACTCCACTGAAAAAATAAATAAAGATATGCTTTCGATAGGAAATTTCCTCAGCTTTCTTATGGTGTAGTCAGATTTTTCGATAAATTTCATTTTCAAATGGAAAAATCGAAATTAAACCTCAAAGATCACTTTTTCCGTACCGAGTTTTTCGAGATATTTAGGTTGGCCTGTTTGATGGCGATTTTCGGGGTGAATGTGCGATTTATCGGAAAATCTGATACCACCATTGAAAAGCTGAGAAAATTTTCTATCGAACACAGTAGCCAGTTATTTTTTTTAGATGAGTTTTGATACTTTTTCAGCGACTTAGAGATTGAGTAATTAGCCGTATTTACGAGAAAACATGATTTTTCGTCCTCTAAATCACAAAAGTAGCTATAAAAGTAAGCACTATTGAAATTTCAATGGTTCCTACGTGGTTACATGTTCCTAGGACCCCCAAAAACATTTCCCGGGGGTCCGTATCCGCGTAGGTTGAAAAAAAAATTTGCCGCGATTTTACCTCCAAAAATGCGTTTCATTTAGAGAATTGCTCATGTATATGTACCTGTGCCCTCTTAGCGCGCCCCGAGATTAGCTCGCTCGTGAGCGTGACGTCGGGGCTTACGGCGGAGAACAGCGACGGTAACCGAGCCGTCAGACTTTTAAGACCGACTCTCTTTTTCAAAAGTTTTCCGCCAAGAAATTTTCAAGTTCTCTCTCTCTCTTTCTTTCTTTCTTTCTCCCTCTCTCTCTCTTTCTCTGCCCGATGGATTGGCCTCCTTTAAGATTTTCAAAGTCTTAGAGAGGCATCATTTCGCGCTGATTTTCGCTCGCACGCTACGCGAAATTGAAATGTTCGTCATAGTCTATAAAGCTCTAGCGGAACAAGAACTTTAAACCACGCAAAGCGCTGAGTATTTTCTTCGAGATTGGAGGAATTTTTATTTTCTTGCAAATTAAAAAAGAAAAACGAGAAATATTGAGAGAGAATAACGAGGAGAAAATATCACTTCATTCGCTGAATGAAGAGCGCACGAATGACAATTCAAGTAAATTCTTGGGTTAATTTAATTTGATTAAAGAAAATTCTACGGTTGATTCAATATTTAGGACAAGGTAAATGCACAACTTTGGGATTAAAATAAGCTCGAGAATGTGGCATTTAGTTTTGCCATCGAGCAAATAACGTAAATCCCTACTATCCCAAGCGCATCGTCGCCGCTCGTTGAATATCTTAATTCTCGGCAGAGGTGCAGTGGGCGCGGTGTACGTAAGGAGGAGAGAGCGGCAAAACGAGTCAAGCCATACGGCGCTTATGGTGTCTGGGACTTGAGTCAAACGCAGGCTCTTTCACTCGACTTTTGTCACTGCTTTGAGCGCGCGCGCGCGAGTGCGACAGGCATCCCTTATAAATACGAACGAGCGCAATATAATGCGTCGCTCGGGTATACATGACGGGTAAAGGGACGAGGTCACGGTGGGTGGCAGGCAGGCAGGCAGGCAGCGCAGGCAGCCTGTCAGGCGAGCGCAGTACGAGGGAGTGAGAGCGAGAGAGAGAACGAGAGAGGCCGTCGAGGCGCTTGCGCCGAGGCCGTTGCTCCTAGAGGCGCCCCGAGAGCGCAGTCGACGCCAGTACGTCGGGCTGTAGCCCAGTGTTCACGTCTACTGTGTGTGTCGGCGTCTCGATCGCGTTTTACAATATATGTATACGTTATATACGCACATCATTACATTGGCGCGCAACGTCTATGTGATGCTCTCGCCTCGCCCACATTTCCATTGAAAAATCTGCCTGTCGAGAGTTGCAGAAATTGTTGCACTGGGCCGTCGTAGGTATATCGAAGTGTTTTTGTAGACAACGAGAAGGTCGAAGCTCGGTGAAGAAGCTCGGCAGGATTACGTTGGGAGGTTAAGGCAGAAAAAATGCATCTTACAGCTGGCCTGATGATCTATGACTAGTGGTGCCTTGCCGGATAAGTGACCCAGTATCTGAATTACCGCACGTGCGTGTGTGCTATAAGTGAGTGAGAGTGTGTTGTTGCTGTTCTTACCTGTTGTTTTGCAGTTATTGTTGTTGTTAAATTGTTATTGTTATAATTTGAGTGCGACGTGTTTTTTTTATCAGTCTGAATGGAAAAAAAATAATAATGAGAACCAAGAGTGATTAGATAAATTCAACGAGTTACGAAGGCAGCGAGTGTCGTCGGACAGATTGTAACCGGGCTGAACTCTACCAAGTGTTTTTCTCTCAGTTCTCTCTATGTGTCACCACGAGTAGTAGCAGCAGCTGCAGGATGCGCAAAAAGCTCGTAGCCTCGCAAGCTTCCACTTGTTCGCCGTCTCGGTCTCTCTCTCTCTCTCTCCCCCGTCAAAGTGATTAACTAACTGGGCAAACCAATTAGGCCAATCAGTGCTACATTGAGTGAAGAAGAGAGAGGAATATATAGAAAGAGAGTAGAGCTTTAAAGGATGGCAAGAAATGCTGGTTAGGGAACACAGCTGGAACGACGGGCGACTACGACGAAACAGCAGCAGTAATAGTACGCGACGACTGGACCAGCTACCCGAGGATTAACTGAGATAGCAGTAGCAGTAGTAGATAGCGATATAAAGCTCACACACGAGGGGCTACGTAAAACGATGAAAAGGATAAAGTCGAGCGCGAGCTGGCCAACACGGAGGACGACGCTCGACGACGAAGACGACGCACGCAGAGCGCAGCACGATTGATTCGAGTCATCGTCGTGCGTGCCCGTGAACGTGCGTTCCGCATAAAAGTAGAAGAGGATGGGCAACCACCGGCTCTTGGCCTATCTCTGGCTGCTGCTAGGGGCGATGATGGCTCAGCTGGATCGGCGCGGCGCCAAGGCCGAGCTCAGCTCGCGCATAGTGCGCACCCAGTACGGCGAGCTGTCGGGTGTGATCGTCACCCTGGGCCGCAGCCTCGAGAGCGTCGAGGTGTTTCGCGGCGTGCCGTACGCCTCGCCGCCGACCGGCAACCTCAGGTTCATGCCGCCCGTCAGTTCGGCGCGCTGGCACGGGGTGCGCGTCGCCGACAAGTTCAGCCCGGTCTGCCCGCAGAGACTGCCCAGCTTGACCGAGAAGATGCCCAAGGGCCGAGCCGAGTACTTGAAGAGGCTTCTGCCCTACCTCAAGAATCAGAGCGAGGACTGCCTGTATCTCAACATCTACGCTCCTGTGCAAGGTACGTGTACATAGTGTGGCTTTTTGCTCGAGTCTTTGCTTTTGAGATTTGCGCCGCCGAGCCGGTGAGCGAGCGAGAGATATATTGCATAATGCATCCCTCGGCCTAAGATCTCTCCTGCCTGATCGGTTGGAAGAGGGAAAAATGCAAGCAATAAGCTCACCGCGGAGCTTCTAAGATGCTTGTGCGCGCAAGGTACTGGTATAGGCTTAGACTCCCACGCAGTGAATGTATGCGCGATATGGCCTCGCGCCCACCTACCTGTCTGCAACCAGCCAGCCAGTCAGCCAGCTAGCTAGCCTGACTGACTGCCTGCCTGCCTCATGCTTGTCTATCTGACAGTCAAGGGTTTAGCGTGGTTTCTCAAATCGATTTCTCCTTTCTTTGCCGCTTCATTGCGCGCCACAACTGGTACGGAAAATTAATCGCAAAATGCGCACCTGCGGCGGTGGCTGCGGCAGCTCGCTCTCGCATCCGAGAATCTCGAGCAGTTTTCTTACGTTTTAATCGCTACGCGAGGCGCACTACTGCGATCGCAAAGGAATTTCATCCTCTTTCTTTCTGCAATCAGATTTATCCGAGCAGCTCGCATTACAAAATAATGTGAGTATATCGTCGAGTGCGATCATCATTTACAAGGAACCGGTTCGCATATATCTCTTTCTCGTAGGGTAAAAACATTAAATTTTGCCGGTTTGAAGAGTTCGTCCAGATTAACACTTGAGAATGTGGAGGTTTTAAAGCCATGGGCTCGAACGATCTAGTTGAATTCTTAAGCGGCTTTCTCTCTCAAGTGGAAATTCCTTGCAGTGGTAGGGATATGAGGAAGAGAAAAAGTCTAGCTTGGGTTAGTGGGAGTGAAAGAGAGATGAAGGCTGTGAAAACTTTATTATCGGTGTTCGGGAAAATTTTCCACGAAAACTGTTTGTTATGATTATATGCGTAAGTTCGTTGAATTTTGATGAATGAACTTTATTCCCTGGGCAAATTTGTTCTATTATTACTTTGCCGATTCAATGTTTGGCTCAATTTGCAATCTCTAATCTAATATTTTTATGAATGTGCCTCTAACTCCCCCTCTCTCTAGCTCAACTCGTTTGAATATTGTATGCGTCGAAATATGATGATCCTTTTTTTTTATTTATTAGCAGTATAATATGATTTTAAATTATTGAGCCGCGACGATGTGCACTTTCCGCGAAACGAATACAAAAACACAGTGATAGAGTCGGTATTAGGTCAGACGCTTTGTAAATAAAGCACTGCGTGCGCGTGTATGTGCACTCTGCAATATAACGTTTCGATCAGTAACACCGACGCGACAGCACATATACATACGTAAACGGATAAAAGAAATAGATATTTTCCAAACGCCGGGGTCGGCATCAGTATGTCGGATGTAGCAATGAGCATTACACCGACAAAAAGGTCGAGCGTCGAACACATAAACATTAGAGTGCCCATTATTTTATTTTTATAATTATTCTGTTTGTTCTATTGGTTCTCTTAGATTGCTTCAATATATTATGAAATGTCATGAAATCCATAACTCTGAGGTAGATAAGTTGTTGAAAAAAAGAGATTGTATTTTAAAGCATTTAAGGAGGCTGTAGCGATATTGAAAAAATCTTTAGACCGGAGTGAAATTTTAACCGCTGATAGTTCATGAAATGACAAGATTTTTGGTAAAAAAAATTGGGGGTTTCCTTGCAAATTTGGGAAATAATGAAATTCAAAGTTTTGGCTATTTAACATTGAATCAAATGGTAAGTGGCAGTTGTTAGTGTACTATGAGCTCAAATCTCTTTACAAGTTAATGAAATTAACATATGTTATAGGAAATGTCATTAGCTTTCGAATGATGTAATTATAAATGGAGGTTTCCAGGCAAATAAAAAAGGTATTAAGAGTCCAACACATTTTCCCTATGTTCTGCCATGCTAACACTGTGCGCTGCGTAACGCATATAGCCTTGCGCATGTAGCCACCTTGCATCGCTACAGTCTCCTTAAACGGTAGCAAGAATTACTCCTAAATCTTTCCGAATTAGTCAAAATTTTATGACATACTAAAGCATTCTGAGGGAAAAAGTAAAAATTAAAAAAAATGAAAAAATAAATTAAGGTACACGCTAACATACAAATATGCGTTCTGTAAACCTGCGCGGAGCCGTGAATGATGTAGAGCAGCAGTCGTATGGCAGTGGTATAGAAGGCGGTATAGTGCGCCAGTATTATGGCTTGTATAGGAGTAATAGTAGTAGCGAGTCGAACATAGATGACTCGTCAAAGGGGCAAACGCCTTTGTCAACGTCAAACGCACGCACCAAACCGTCGCTCTCTCTCTCTCTCTCTCTTTCCCTTGTAAAACGAAAGAGAGAGGGAGGCAGAGAAGGTACAATGTATGTGTGCATGCTTTTTCAGACTCACGCGCGCCCGCCCCGCTCACTCATCACACACGCCATATGATGATCTTCGTGATGCCTTTGAAAAGGCTACAATTGTGATTTTGCTACTTTTTTTTAACGTTGCCCCACGTCGTCGTAAAGCTCCCTCGCTCCTTTGATCTAGACCTTGACACTTTTTCTATTTTTAATATCTATATGCGAGCGTAAATGAAAAAGGAAAGGAGCGCCCGCGTATCTGAAACTCGGTGTGACGTGCGATATTTGCTTGATTTGAACGAAGAATTTTTTCCAAGTATATAAGCTTGATCAAGCGTATCAGTGAAACTCCGTGCTTGCTTCTATAATATAACTTTTCGAACTTGCATCCACGTATTGCTCGTGAACTGCGCACGTGTGTCTATCCTATACACACACACACACACACACACACACACACACGTGCGCGCGCGCGCAAGAGTAGGTAATTATTATTATCAAACTCCGGGGTTAGGTGGAGCAAGGGGAGTAGTCGAGCTTGCTGGTCAAACTCTCGTCTGCGTGGTGTACGTAAACAGATCGATTGACGCCGGGCCGTGGCCACGGCGAGCGTCGTACTTTGGCCTGCTCCTATAATATACGTGCAGCGGGGGCATTAGCATACAAACAACGCAGCGCAGTGAGCTCGCGCCCACACATCCACACATACACGCACTGCAAGTATATATCTCGGGGCCTGGTGAAATTTCAATCGTTGTCGCTCCGCACGCACAAAACAAAAGCTTTACTACGTAGTGCGTGTACGCCGTCGTGCTTTGGGGAATAGAAATTTGCTGCTGAGATGGATCGATTAAAAGCTTAATTGCCTTTGTTGCTGTTATACAGTCGTTGTCGTCGTTGTCGCCGTCGTTGCTGCTACTGCTGGCGCTGTCGCTCTTGTTGTTGTTGTTATCGTTGTTGTAGTCGCTGTGCCACTGCGCTGCGCACTGGTAATCCTTGTTATTATTATTGTCGTTACTACTTGCGTGCGCTCGGGTGTGTGTTGGTATATTACGCATGCGTGCGTGATACAGGCTAGGCGCGCGCGCTACAGTGCTAGCTGCTGCTGCTGCGGTGACAGACCATGATTTCGAAACTCCATTTACAATACCTCATTGTTTCATTGGGATTTGATGCAATTGTGCAGCCCGAGCTATGCTATGCTGTGTAGCTGCAGGTACTCGAGCTGCTGCTATATTCGATTTGCTCGCAGTCCGTACCTACGCTTTGATTATTGACACGCACTCGCGTGAATCGATTTTTACCTAGCGATGTATAATATAATGAATTCATAAAGTATTCGCTCGAAGTTCATGTATATCACGAGTTGAACAGTAAACGATCTAAAGCGTCATGTGTACCAAATAAAGAGAACACGATGCCAACGACTCGGACGATTGAAGCTGTCACGTTAAAAAATGGTGGATAAGGCGATGTACGTACGTGTATTATATGCAAGCTCGAGGCAAATTTTTAGTCTATAAAAATTTTCCCTCTCACCCTCTTACTATCTCTTTCTTTCTCTTCAATATTTCCTTCGCGAGCTTGCAGCAGCACTACTAGCCACTCGCGTGTAATATACCAGAAAATGAGGTTGCAGCTTTGGCAGCAAAGACCTTTTTTGCTCTTTCTTCACCACACACTCACTCTCTTTTCGGGCTAGTCTATATCCCTCTGTCAGGCTGCCTAGTGTACGCTTCTTTACTCGCGTCAGGCCATGTCAATTTTAGGATTTATCGCATGATCTACGAGCCGAGCCGTGTGAGCTCGCGCACGCGTTACGTTACGTGTGTGTGCATGTGTCAGAGCTGTTGCTGCTGCGCCGTGCAAGCTCGTGCACACGCTCTGCACCACCGAGTATGTATATGCACGTACACGTATATATTTGTGCAGTGTGCAGGGTATATATATAACTATTTTTAAAGAGGCTATCGAGAGTCGAGGCTATATAGCGTGCGACAGAACGCGACTGAATTTTGTAAAGATGAATGCCACACTGCAGAGCTGCATCGCGCATGTATGCGTACATACATATCGTGTGCTTGCGCTGGTTATAAGACTGTGGGCGCGCGGGTGTTTGCTCCGGGAGCTGGTGTGTGCATGCACGGCACGATGCAATCCGCAAAAGCATTTAATGACACCGCACAGTGGGTATACACAACGCGCGCGCGGGTATATGTATATGCATGGCAGTAGTAGCAGCAGCAGCAGCAGCAGCTTTTTACGATTTTCGGAAACGCGACACGCTTTACGATCCGTTGGTCGCTAGCGCGCGCGCGTATATACTACTATCCACGTACACACACTCGCATTTGTGCCGCAGCTTCTATAAATCCAATGCTTATATCAGTTCGGCTTCGTGCATGTTGGGACAAAAACGAGAGTTGCTGCTGCTGCTGCAGAGAGAGCTTTTCACGCCAGGCCCCGCTATTCAAATGAAGTACTTGCCACGCCGCTACCGCTACCACTACCACGCTGCCGTACCTTGGTTTTCGAATCGAGTCCTTGCGCAACATAGTACACATACACATACGCTCCTCTATTACACAACTCGGTATCGACAGATATTTACGTATTG